GCGTGTTAAATCAATATGTAGTTCCAGTTGGTACAGACTGTACAAAATTATTATTTGATTGAACCAACTTTTATGGTCTAAAAAATTCTTTTTACTAACTAGAGAGAATTATAATATAGGACATATGTTTGCCCTTTGGTTTGTAAAGCACCATGCTTCAATTCATTTATTAAATGGTAATGAATATTTATTTTTTTATTTTAAAATTTACAGTAATATATCTTGCAGAAAATGTAATATATCATATATAAGATAAAAATATTTTCTTAGAATGACAGAGAAATTTGTAGATAATTAATCAATTGTTTGTATTTATTGATTATATATCATAAAATACTAATAACAAGACACTTATTTTTAGAAATGTAATGTTTCTCATGATAAAAATATCTTCCCTTTGGTCCAGAGCTGTGATGTGTTTAGGAGATTATTAGTATTCATGAGCTGCCTCATTGCAAAGGGGAGCACAGGGGCTGTGGTGAGTGCGCGGTGCTGCAGTCGGCAGGAGGCAGGGGAGGCTCAGAGCCCTGTGCTGCTGGGCCGGGGTTCTGCTGGAAGGTTCAAGGTGCTGCCACTGCCTGAAAAGAGCTTACAGCATCATCTGCACAGCAAGGAGTACAGGGCATCCTTTATTTACTCATGGCTTGCTTTCTTGGGAAAATGGGTGGAGTAAAAATGAGGGCTCATGCAAACAAACACCTAAAATATTTTTTAATACATCATCAGTAATTCTAAGAGAATGAGGGGAATGCTGTTATTTTAGCAATGGCTAATCAGTTCAGATTTTTTCTGTGAAAGGATTTACTTCCAGATATTACATAGGTGAGTTTATGGACAAGTATTTTTCTAGCTTTCTTACCACTGTCTTACTAACTTTCTTTTTCAGGTGGAATGTGCAGGTTTTTTATGTAATTACTGAGAGATACTGAGTATATGTCTATATACCAATTTTCTCAGATCTAATGATTTATCCAATATGCTTTTATGGATCTTGAATACATATATAGTAGTTATCTGTACATAGAAAGATATATAATGATGTAATACAGGTACTTAGCTTGATTTCCGTTCTAAATAGTTGAGTGTGCTGCACTTTTTAATGTAAGCAAATATTATCCACAATGCTCTTATAGCATGCTCATCTTATAAAATTTGGTTCAGGGTTAATTTTATGCTATCTTGTAACTCAAAATACTCTTTGATTAAGTTTTTTTGAGGTAAAAGCTCATTCTTCATTCCCACAGAGGCAACTTTCAGGTAGGGGCAGCTTGCAAAACTGAATGTGTTGCTTTCTTTCATAACTCTGATGGCTGACATGTGAATACAGTCTTGATGTCTTGTGTAGTGCAGGTACAACTTTAGGTGGGATTTGTCTCAACTGCATAAGCTTTGGCAGGAAATGCAAGCATTTTTCCCTTGGTGGAGGGAGCAGTGTCTTCCCTGCTGATGCAGGAACCTGGGGGTAGTGTCTGACCCCAGTGCGGGGGAGGCTTGCTGGGGTTAGAGGGAGATTTTCTTTACAAGTTAAAATAAATACATTTTTAGAATGTTGAAAATCCAACGACTCTTTTTCTATTCTGAATATCTGTGAAGTAATACACAGGCCCATTTATATTGTCTGTAACCATTCTTAATATGCACAACAATTATGTTGTTATGGCTGTAATTAGAACTACTTAGAAATAACATAAGACATTTGCCAAACTATCAACCAGAAGAACTGCTAAAGATCATAAACTAATTTTAAATAAAAATTTAATGAATTAATTGATTTATGACTTAATGGACTATATGGATAAATATGTTGCTCTTCATAATCCTGCTACAGAAAAAATACTTATTTATAGTGTTATGATAACTAGGTTTAAATATAATTTAATAATTTACCAGTTTTAGCCACAAGCCTGCAAAAACTTGCATCTGCATTTAAATGAATATGTTAATAACCCCAGCAAGTCTGCAAAACAAAATAAAAATTTAGCCATGTTATTATCAAAGCAGCTAAGTGCAAAGGGATGTATCCATGCAGGTCCTTTTCTTGTTTGTGCTTCATAAATGAAACTCTAACAGTAGTGAATAAAGCAGGAGTGTGAGCTAGCAGCTTTTCCTTCAAGTGATAATCAGTAATGTAATGGTAAAACATTGTGTTCTAAGGGTAATCAATTAGATGGTATAAGAATGCTGAATTTTACATACCCATTCTTTTGAGACTGTTTCAGTAATGAAAAATAATAAACTAGCACAGGGATTAGATGAACACAAAGAAAACTTAATGTATTTGCTTTGTTATAACAAGAGGAAGTATTGGGCAGCTGTTGATCCTTGGTCCTATCCCATTATGCCCATTTCTAGCAAATTAATAGCTATTTTGTACTAGTACACTGGAACATATTTCCTAGGAAAGCAGGAGTTCATATTTGCAAGGTAAAAACAAGTATAAAATTAATTTGAATTCTAAATTTCTCTGGGGTTTTTTTTCCAATTAAGATAAATATTCTAGTTCCTATTCTAGTTCTATTCTACTTTTTGCAAAGAATCAGAAATGAAACTTATATGAGTCTTGGAAAAAAGTGATTTTTTTCTATTATTCAGAAACTTTCCATGTTCCCTGAATTAGTGAATTCATACATCAAAAATGGTTTTTTCCTAAAGTTATAATACCATCTTTTTCTTATTTCTCAGCTGATGGACATCACTAGCTCCTACATACATATTCAATAAAGTGAGATTAGAGCATTTCAGGTAAATTGTAAAAAAAAAAAAAAAAAAAAAGAAGTGAACGCTGGCATAAAAACATTGTTATTTTGTTATTTATTATATTCATAAACACCTGAAATTCAGTACAGTAAATTTAATAATATGGTAAATAATTCTTTATTTGCATGGCAGATTTTATAGTCCATTGAACTTTAGTGCTGGAAATTACGTAGAAACAGTCACAGAAATACAATTCCCAGTGCTGTTGGAAAGAAATTATCCACGTGGAAAGGAGTTGTCCATGTCTAATCAAAGTAGGAAGTAGAATCCTTCGAAGTGAGGCCTTTGAACCTTGAAATAGTGAAGTATCTCTTGCTCCAGAGAAGAAACCAGTTAACAGTGTTGCCTTCTATCACCCTAGAGGCCTTTTCTTTGATACTTTTGTATATATGTGAGGAAGATGGTATTTTTGAGGTTTTCTTTTTTCCCCATCTAAATTTCTTCCTAGAATGATTGAATATGTTTGTGTTTGTGCTCACATTTATGTGAATGTGGTGTGGGGAGAACGGTGGTAAAACACAAAGGAATTCTATAAGGAAACTTTAAAATACAAATGTCTTATATTTTTGCCTTTCAAACCCAAAAGCCAGTCAATAAAGTTTCTCTGGGACAGGAGGGAACATGACAGAACCTATTATAAGCTCAGTGTACCTCAGGTAGTCCACTAAAATGTGTTCTTGAATACTTTGGTGCATCAAGTAGCTTGTTCTGTTTAATGGCATAGATGGTTTTTTATCTGAGCTTAACAGGAGCAGATTCTGAGTGCTGAAGATGGTTAAAAGCCTATGCAGAGGTTGATAGTGATCTTTCTATTAGGTGTTGTCTAGTCAAAGACTTAACTTTCCAACTTCATTTTCAAAGAATAATGTCTATTTCTATGTGCTCTTACCTATGTGGTCACACATATAGTCCACCCTTGGAAGATGCCAGTAAAACAGGGCCACATTGTTTTAGTTATAGTTTAGGGATACAATTTTTTATACTTTCCTGGATCTGTCTTGGGACAAGACTGATTCAACCTCCAGCAGGGCCCAGATCCATAGAAGTTACAGGATATCATATTTTCTCCCATTGACCCCTTTATTTTTCCCTGGTCTGATTTCCTATCTGTCTGAAACTTGCCATGACACAAAAAAGCCTCTAACTCCACTCTTTCTAATTTTAACTGGGGGAGAGGTAATGAGGGGTGGATGGAAATGGGGGACAGGAGCAGGCCATTGCATCTGCTGGAGAGGGGTCTTGCTGGGAGAGACTGCAGGACTATTGGTTAACAAATAAATTTGACTTCAAAATACTGAAAAACTGAAAAAAAATTCCTAAACCAGCATGCTAACAGCAGGTCTACTAATCAGCAATAGAAGGTCAAGGAATTTCCTACATGCTTGGCCAGTTTAACAACTGCATCTGAAGTGAGTCCAGCTGCAACTTAAACTTCTGTCTTTGCAGAGTGGCAACTAACTTTATATTGCCTTTAGAGCTAGGGCATTGCTTGCCCACAGCAGACTTAGGGCTGGGCATTAGAATGTCCTGTATGTATTTGAGACTGTTCTCTAAACTCTGTGAACACTTTATCCTGTCTCTATACAGTGGAGCAGAAAAAGGATTTGTATACAAACATTTAAATGCATTTCAATGCAATTCAGTTAAAGGAACTCAAACAGAACTGCCAGAGTGATTCATTTTTCTGTCAATCAATAAAAATTCTAGTGGGTTATTAGGCATTTTGCCTCAAAATTAGTTTGCTTTCATATTGTAACTATTGCACTTTAAGGAAGTGAGAGACTGAAGACCTAAAAAATATTACACGATCTCTTTGAAAAGTATGAAAATTTAGATGATATCTTTATTTCTGTTAGGTCTTTGGTGAACAGCACTGATAAGATGAATGTGTTAAACTACTGCCCCACGTTAATTTTCTTTGGTTGTAAAATTGCTGTTTTATTTGTTTCTGTATTGTGGGGATATAGGCAGGAAAGCTTCACATAACTTTTAAGTGCCTCTCAGTTGTTCTGAAAAACATGGGGAAGTGTTCATTTTATTTGTTCCCCTCAAAGTGGAGGACAAACAATAGCATTGAAAATATGTACTCCGAGGAGCATCAAATTAAGCTTTTACTTGTGAACCAAATAAATGGAAACATATCAAGACTTAAAAATAATTTAGTGATTAAAAAAAAAATAAGGCTTTTGGAAATGCTGTTACACAGACAAATTAACATGTTTGTTTTTACTTTGTAACTGTAGTACATTTACTCCTAAAATGCAAGGCAGACGGATGGGGACTTCAGGGAGAATCACAAAGAGCACAAGCGTGAGCGGGGAGATGTACAAGCTGGAGCACATTGACGGGAGCCAGTCGGACACGGCCGTCGGCATGGTGGGAACAGGTGGGAAGAAAAGGCGCTCCAGCTTTAGTGCCAAGGTGGTTGCCATAGTGTCTCGAAGGAGCAGAAGCACATCTCAACTTAGTCAAACAGGTGAGTGAGGCACACAGTCCTGGAAACAGGACTCTCACCAAACGTGGTTTACCCTTATTTCATCTGTGGCATCTGTGTTACATGTATATGCATCTAGACTGCTCAAGAGAGATTTTCCAGCTGTAAATAAACTCCTGATGTATTAATTTTCTTTGATTATTTAACATCTGCAAGAAACAATATACAAACGTCTTTTAGAATGTGTGCTGTAGTTACTTTCTGCCGTGATCAATGGAAACTGTTGTCTCTTAGAAGCCTTGTTTACAGGTAGGCCAGGAAATGCAAAGAAACACATGTCGGTGTCAGCAGGGGATAATGGTTTGTTAAGACCAGCTTTTTATGTGTAGGAAATTTCTTTTAGCATAAGAAGAGTTGAGTTGAGTTGAGTGTGAATGTGGGAACTGAAATCTGAGCAAATGAATGGCAGTTATGCAACTTGAATCAGAGGTTGTACCTGTAGTGGCATAAAATACATTTTTAAAAATTACTTTTGTTTTTTAAGTTGAGAGTTAATCCAATTTTTTTTTTTGTAATGCTGGCAAGTTGGGGTCAGTGATTTCAGATAAATTAGATGACAACGTGATGCTTCATTAGGAGAATAAGTCTTGCAACTCTTTATTGTGACTCCAGAAATCTTAAAAGCTTCATATCAGCATAGCCTCCAGGAACAAAAGCCCATACAGAAAGATAAAAAAGGGAAGAAGAATGTTTTAAAGTCCCTGTCCTGCTCCTGAACCCCAGTGAAGACTCCTGCTTTTGTCTTCATTGGGAGCAGGACATGACCCTAAGGGTCCTTTCTTACTAAGAGGGGGAAAACAAAGTGGAAAAGCTTCATCCTAGCATGCAATGCACTCATATTTCAGCATTCCTCTCACATAGTCAGGGTATCTAAAGTAAGGTAAGTAACAATATTGTTTATTTATGTCATCAAATATTTCCCCCCTTTCCCCTGGTTTTCTTTGATTGCCAGATGAGCAGCAGAATTGATCCATGCACAATTAAAGCTTGGTCAGCTACAGCAAGAATATTGTTATATTTCTCTACACTATTCATGAATTTTCAGCCAGTATATAATCATGCAGTTGAACCAAATGATAAATGAAACTGGTGTATTTGAAGCCCAGAACTGTAATTAATAATGTGTTGTTCAAGAATGCACGGTGACTAAGTATGAGACTGGAATATAGATAGTTGCACACAGTGAGATGCTATTTTAGATGTATCAGAATCAATGGTGTGCTCTGTAAGTAATAAAAAGTGGTGTTGTCATGTAGAAAGGATTCCTATGCTGATATTTTAATCCACTTAAAATCTGAGCTGTGACATCCAAGCACTTCGCAGTATATTCTATTTAAAGCTCATATTTTTCTAATCTTTGTAGAAAGGTACTATAGCTCTCCAAGTTTTGCTTGGTGTAAATTTCAAAACAATAGGAATTTTGCAAGGAATGGAACTTCTAACGTTTTCCTGAAACTCAAAGAGCAAATCAAATATGAAAAACATGATTATGTATTATTCATGATTGTAAACCAGTTCAGAGTCATCTTTACCTTGTTTTGACTCAGGCTAAGAGTATTCTCTATGGCATAATCAGAGCAAATAAAAATGTGTCACTTTTTGTCAGTCACTAGTTTTGAGTTTTGTCAAAAATCAGTGAATTAAATTAATGCATTTTTTAGAACAATATGCACATCAGGCTTGATAGATTTTCCAAATGACATTGTTAGAGGTTAAGTGCTCATGTTCTAAATCAGGGACCCACATCCTTTCCTTCCTATATTATACAAGATGAGAGGAGAAACATAAAAATGTCTATTTCATTTTAATGTGTTGTGCAACTTACTAAGGTCTCCAAAAATTTCTGTTATGACAAGATAATGTATACTGGTTACTTCTTTAAAATTTATTATGTGAAAACTATTTCTCATAGTTAAGGTCTGAAGTTTTGGAACTGATGTGAAAATTTATGGGCCTCCAAAAGTGGTATCAAGTAGGAACTTTTGGGACAGATTTTCAGGAACTGGAGGTGTGCTGTTGATGCAGTATATGTATTTTAAAGGAAATATAAAAATATAGAAGTAGATGTGTAGCCTCCATAGGTTGTTCAGGTTTTATTTCTATGACTTGCATGATTATAAGTAAGGGAAGCATGACAAAGATAGTTATTTGTTTCTGAAAACTCAAAATAGAAGATCAGAAATAAAAAAGGCAGATTTTTTTGAAAAGCATCAGTTCTATATTCTTATGGATTGAGTACATCTGAAATTTTAGTTTACTGCTGTCTTCAAAGCCAGAAAAGTTTATAACTATCTCACTTTTTTCACTTGAAGAAATGGTCAAAAGGGCTGCATTTGACTTATTGTAGATAATTCATCCTTTTAACATACTGCATGGGCCTAATGTTATATAAAAACAGAAGTGGTGTGTATGGAACTGCTGCAAGGTAGCTATTATTGATGAGATTTTATTTTCTATGCAGCTGAAAAAGGAGTGTGTGTGTGTGAGCCTGTGCATGTTTGTGTCTACACATACACCCATGGATTTCTTTGCACATATGGAGCAGATCCTTGCATGTTGAAATTAGAAGGACCAGTAATCATTATTTTACACACCCTGTTCCATGCTGTTGGAAAATATTTATTCAGGATCTGTGCCTTATAGGTGGTCAGTGAAAGAATTGGTTTCTATTTTTATGTAAATCTGCAATGAAATTATGTATTTTTGCTGCACCTTCCTTTTATGTTTAAGATTTCATAATACTTGTAGTAACTGTTCTGTGAAATCCTTACTTACTATGTATTTGTTCATTGTGCCCACAAATTGGATAGATTAAACAGTTCACCAGAAAAAGCTTTTAATCTTCTGACAATATTCCTAATGAAAATCCAGCTCTTCTTATGTTATCACAGTTACAAAGAAGAAAAGGAAAAGGGAACAAAAAAGAAGCAAAACTCCCAAGATGACCACAGAAAATTGAAAATAGCTCCAGGCATACATAACCATTTTAGCTGCAATACAACTTTTCTAGCTTTCTTTGTTGGCCTTATTTTGGTAAATAAATATATACACATATACAGAATAAATGTATAACTACCAATTTTCTGAATATGGCAAAATAAACTTTAAATCACAGGAAAATTATAGGAAATTATATTAGAATAAGAAATCATCCTCAGTTTTCTTGTATTTTGTATTACAACACTACTCCCTTCTACAAGGAATCTTGCCTTGTAGTTTCCATATCAATGAATGACTGAGGCCAGTGTTGATCATACCACATTTTGATTTGGGGTTCTAGGTTTGTTTTGAATGAGGTGAAAACTTCCATAATAGGAGGGAAAAAATTTATCACAGAATTTGTACCATATATAGAGACATAATAATGCATTTTGAAGTGGATAGAGGCAACAGGAGGGGTATCATCAGTACAGTGAGTTCTGGAGAGAAGGAAAGCCTTAATCTCAGATAAAAGGAAGTATTCCCATCCCTGGATCCCTTTCAGTTCTCTTGGTACATGCAGACATGTGTCTTAGAAAGCAAAAGAATTCCTCCCTTTTGCTTTCTACCCCCTGATCAGCAGATAGTGCTTCAGAAAGATCATCTTTCAGAAAGATCATCTTTCTTCTTTGGAGAAGCTCACTTTTCTTCTCTTTGAGTGCCAACAGTGGCTTGCAACTATTTTGAGATAGATGAGAGTGGAAGAGATGCAGAGAAGGAGAGCTAAGGAGCTTAGAAGAATGGGCAGCATTTTTATTTTGACATTACACTGATACCAGGTCAATTTTCTAAATGAACATTACCTTGCTATGTTTATGGTGTGAACCACAATGAGATTTTTCTGTGTAAGAACCAAAATTATTTGCTTTCAATCTTCTGTTGGTGAAGTTCAACATCAACAAACTGAAATGAAGCCCATAGGCATTAATGTTTCAAAGACAGATTATATACCATGAAGCAGAGCTGAAATCAAGTGTTGTCACAAGGTGAAAACAGAATGAAGAAAAATTCTTTTCACTTATGTGTGTCTCTGAAGTGGATACTTGGAGGGAATCTTGAAGTGTTTGTCTGCTTCCCTCAGGAAGTAACTTGCAACCTGAACAAAAACAGTATCTTAGAACATATTTCCCTATATAAAAACTAGAATTTCCTGCTAAAGTATATTTTCTGTCATTTTCTGTAATTTGTCCTATAAAGAGGTGGTTTCTGTATTCTTTTGAATTAAGCTCCAAATTCCCGATTTCAGATAAGATAGTCTCATCTAGGTGAGGGAATTGTCACTGAGCAGTAAAGTTCTGACAGTTGTGCACCCCACAGTATATCCATGCTGGTTTTGTGAGCTCTCTGCAGCTTAAAGAGCTTTTCCTCATCCAACTGATTTCCCCACGTTTCACCTTCCAAGACTGGTCTCAAGGTGGCTTTCTCTCATGGTTGCTAAATTAAGATAAGTTGGATAAGTAAGGATTTAGAAAATAAAACCTCATCCATTCCTCTGTTGATGGAGACTGTGATGGTTCACTGGAGGTACTTAGTGACTGTTAACAAGCACCCCTATGATGTGCAAAAAAAACCTTGCTTGGGAAACAAGGAAAGCAATGCTTAAATTGAGCCTTCCAGGCTCAGAGTACCTAATTTCAGAGTGGACACTGCCATTAAAGACAAAACAAAACAAAACAAAACAAACAACCAAAAAAAACCAAAAACCCAACCCAAACAAACAAAACCCAACCCAAAAAACAAAGCCAAAACCAAACAAATAAACCAACAAAACAATCAAAAACCAAAACCACACATTCCCACCCCCACCTCCCCAGTCTGTTAATCTGTTCTTAATTTTCTCAGTCTTTTTTTGTTTGGAAATGCTGGTAGCACTATTTTTCTGTCCATCCTTGTAGTAATTTTATGGTAAAATGAGGGATTTCCTACAGGTCTAGGTGGTATGGACAGAAAAAGCAGATAATGAATAAGAAATACAATATGCTGGAGGGCAAAGGCCTTTGGCA